TGACATTCAAACAAACGTATAAGGCCTACTCTTTCCAAACTGAGCCTTAAAAACAACATTAATCCTCAAATTTGTATTTGAAGACACGCCATTGAATACGCCCCCTAATTAGTTATATAATAAAATCAGTGGGCTGGTATGGGCCTCATCTTCTAAAATTTAATAGAAATGCATATCCATCCCCAATGCAAGATGCTACCAATTGTAGTAACATACAAGTAATATGCTACTCACGTTGCTTCTATGGTTACATATCAAATATGTTTCATATTTGATAATGTCTTTCATGGTTCGTAACTCGTAATATTTAAACAACAATTAAAAAAAATATATTTAAACAATAATCATGTTTGTGAATTGTGATGTACATAGAGATGACAATCGAACTTGCTCCCGTTGCGGCCCTTGGAATAGGGCAAATTCAGAGATTCACGTTCCCTTTGGGGATGGAGACATGGCTAGGATTTTCAGCCCCGTCAAGGTACAAGCAAGCATGTGGTGACACTCGTGTGGTACATCACATGTGTTCGGGGGTGGGGAGAGGATATGTAAAACCTGGCCCCACCCAGCCCTGTTGCCATTAGGGGTGCAAATTGGATGAGCTGGATTAGGTTTTAGCTAAACTTGGACCTAACCCTAAGAATTGAGTTTAAAGTTCCAACCTTGCTCAAGCCTGAACTATCCAATCCCAACCTAGTCGGGCTGGGCTTGGGCTCGAATTGGTCAATCAACCCATACTAAAAATTGATATACATAAGGGCAGATTTCAACTACCAAAGGATAAGCTTGAAACCAGCCTAAAAAAATTAAAAAAAAACCCCAACTTTTGAGCTGAGACAAACCCAAAGAGAAAAAATCAAAGCCGAGCAACTCGTATAAAATTGCAGGCTGGATTGGTATTAGGTCGGATTGGACTCGCCCAATTGCACCATAGTTATCATTCCTATACATGTGGCCAATGTTTTTTAACCGTTGTTGACCCGAACGGTTGGACCATTCGGCCCAGAAACCGTCCAAACAACTGGTTCCGTTTCACCCCTAACCCGTTCTTGGGTAAAAAATCATTGACTTTGTCAAAAAACCGCTGACTTGGGCGATTGAACTGTCGACTCGTTTGATCCAGATAGCGATTCACAGTTTAAAAAAAGTTGTAGAGAGGAGAGAAACACAGGACCTCAAAGCTGAGATCCAGTCTGAGGCACGAACTCAGATTTGAGATCCAGGAGAGAGAGAGAGAGAGAGAGAGAGAGAGAGAAGAAGAAGAAGAAGAAGAAGAAGAAGAAGAAGAAGAAGCAGAAGAAGACTATAGTTCAGACGTTGCAAGAAATCGATCTCAGATCTGACATCCGAGAACTCAGATCTCAGATCTTATATCTGTGTTTGTTGCCGTTGTCGTTGCCATTATTGTCGCCGGTGAGTGTCGAATCATCCTTCTCCTCTTCCTTCTTCTTCCCTCCTTCCTTTCCTTTCTCTTCTTTTCTTTTTTTTTTTCTTCCCTTTCTCCTTCCCTTCTTTCTTTCTTTCTTTCTTTCTTTCTTTCTTCTCTTCTTCTTTCTTTTTTTTTTCCTCAGCCAACAACAATCTCTTCTCCATTTTCCTTTCTCATATAAGCATATAAATATTTTCCCTAATGCAAAGTTGCAAACCGTTGGACCCGGACGGTCAAACTGCTGACCCGGAAACTAGTAGCTAGAACAGCTCCATTTCATGGTCGATTTTTAAAACCTTGCATGCGGCTATAGATGATGTAAGAAGCATTATGGTTAGCACCGTAGCAGCCATAGTGCCTTGTGGGTTTATAGTTTCGCAGACCCAAATTCAAAATAGGGTTCAAGTTCGACTATGATATGAGAAAAACAATAGTAGTGGTTCCATGAAGTCACTTCATTTAATTCAAAGGAGATCGCATCTGCACCTCACAAATGCCCGACATACACATCTCAACATGTATGGGGAACATCTCTGGAAGTTGTCAGTGAGAGATGTTTTCAATACATGGTTGGGATATGTTGGAGGGCGTTTGTGGGGTGCAGATGTGAATTCAATTCAAGGTGGGGCCATGTAAGCAAATCAAAGACTTTGATTTACATGTACACAAATAAGTATGTGTTTGAAACCATGTACATTTATTGACTAAATGTTTTGTACTTGATTTGTTTGGAAAACCAAAAAAAGCAATGATGAAACCGCTATTGACACTTAGGCGCCACATCAACAAAACAGTGAATAAACGCCTACCCATTGGGGGAAGTGTTAAAATGAATCTTCCCCCCAATGGTAGACGTACATATAAACTGAAATGTTGTTGAAGTGGCACCTATATGATAGCGTTTATTGATAAATGCCCACGGTTCTAAACACACGCTAAGTATGTGTTTGTTTCCGTTTATGTTTTTTGAATAAACGTTTGTACTTTATTTGCTGGTAAAACCAATAAATACAATAATTGCAACTGTTTATGACAATTAGGCACCATTAAGCGCCACATCAGTGTAACTGTGAATAAATGCCTGGCCGTTTGTGGAAGCTTTAAAAAATAACTTCCACAAATGCCTGACATACACAAAAACAAAAATTCACTTTTTACATTTTTTATGCATGCAGAAGAGCAAGAGAGAAAATGCTGAGATGGTGCCTATGTGGCACCACCAATAAACGTTTATTGAATAAACGTAAGCGGAGCCAAACACCTTCTAAGACTCACATATGACACTGATGCGGCATAAACACTGGCATCCCGCTTGCAGTGGCACCATCGTAAATATATCTCCATCTCGGCATTTTTACAGATTCACATGTAACAAATCGCGCCCACACCTCTCTGGTACTATAAATATGTGCTTTAGGGTTCGCGTTTTGGATCGGCGAAGTCCAAGAGGTCTGATAGAGCTCGGCGTTGTAGGCGTTGCCTTTTCTCTTTGCATTTTTACATTCCTATCGACTATCGTTAGGGTTGGGTGTATGCGATTTTTTATGTTCTTTCTTGCTGTTTACCAGTTTAGAAACAAAGGGCTGGATGTGCGTTTACGGGGAGAGCTGTTTTAACAAGCTTGTAGCTCTGAAAATCCCTGCAGGTTCTCTGCAGGCTTCCCCTGTTCATCCGAGCCCCAGACAAATATGGCCTCATAGTACGGTTTTGTGCTTTTTGGATTGGGTCTGGTCGTGGTTTGGAGTCTTTGGTCTTGAAGATTATTCTTCGCCAATTTCTTCGACCCCACTCATCCAATCCATCGTCACTCACAAATCCGCCTCCAAATGCCATTACATGTATTTTAACTGAAAGCTTCTTTTATGATTTGCACGATGAAGAGGAAACTGAAATAAAATAATCAAATCTCCTATGATTTGCTCAACAGTACTGCATTCAGATTCAAATCAATCGTCAATCATCCTCAGTTCTTCCACCATCACCATCTTTAAATATTGGACCTTGGATGCAGAGTCCTTAATGCAATCGCTTGTGAGAGCGGAGGTTCATTGAATCCTGGTAAACAGGATTTTGGTTCCCTATGTATAATTGCATTTACCTGCGAATTGGGTGTTTTGATGGAGTCCTATCGTATAACTATAAGTATGTTCCTACATGACAAGTTCCTTCAAATGATTCAAAGCGATTTGATTATCAAGGTTTTTAAAACTAAATCGGACAACTCGTTTTGACAAAAAAAAGGCCAAAATGGTTCGACCCGGGTCAGCAGTTTACTAACTAAATCATCGGTTTTTAGCATATATAAATCAAGACCAGATTTTGCAATTCTCTATGCGATTCCAAACACTGCCTTAATAATCTCCCTTTCTCTCCTGCCAAAAGATTTACAATTTCAACACCCTTAGACCTTTGATAAGTAGTAAGTAATCCTTTGCATTTGTACTGTTTCCAAACTAAGCCCAATGGAGATTATTACCACAGAAATGCTCAAGGAATTCATGAAGCTAAATCCTAAGATAAGATCCGTTTTATTTAACTGCAAACCACGTTTAACTCTGCACTGCAGAAAATAATCCTCATGGCTCCCGTAGGGAGATGCCCAAGAAAAAAACAAGAATCCCAGCTGAATCCATCTATAATCAGTGGATCATGCAATAGGGAAGTTTCATACTCGATAAATTTGAGTGAATGATCAAACAATCTGATCTTTTCCGGATCGGAAGTTTGGATGTCTCTCAGTCTCCACCAAAATTATCTGTATCTCGAAAAACTTAATATATAGATAGGTCAGACCTATTAAATCAAAACTTACGTCAGATTGTTCATTCTGATTCCAACTGTTTGGTTGGGCGAAATTTGAATCCCATTCCCATTTCTAGTGGAATGGCATTCTCCTATGAGAGGGAATGGCCATTCCGAAATTCTATTTCAGCTGATTCTAATTCTTATTTCAAGTCCTATCTCAACCAAACAGATTATGGGAATAGATGATTCTAATTCTGATTTTGATTCCACTGCAAATCAAATAAGTTGGATTAAAACAGAAAAAAACCAAGAAGCTCGCTCATTGCCTGTGTTATGGTGATGGGATCTGTTCCTCACACGCATATCCATCGTGCATTGGGAACATCTCCTGTGAATAATGACTAATAACTACGGGAGATGTTCCCAATGCATGGTAGGATGTGCGTGTGAGGAGCAGATCCGGTCTGTGTTATGTTTCTCACCCTATGCGACATCTCATAGGCCAAGGCTCGCCCAGCCCAATAAAGTGATCATGGTTTTTAAAAACGAACTGGTCAGGGGTCCAGTTACAAGTTCGAACGGTCCAACCGTTCAACCCGAACGACTGGCCCGTTCTGACAAAAAAAGTAAAAAATTTTAAAAAAATTAAAAAACGGTCAAAATATGCCCATTTGAGAGGCTTTTTGAGGAACCAGTAAGGTCTTTAAGCCGTGTTTGATAAAAACTTAGAGAATTGAAAATAGGCTTACAGAATCAACTTTCCGATAAAGCCTATATTAGATAGTTTGAAGTTTTAACTATATGTTTAACAAAGGAAATCAAATAATTATCGCAACGGTAAGTAGGACCCATATTATTGACCCGACCCGTCCACGGCCTGAAATAAATCCAATTCAAATTCCAGTCTGATTAACAACGTTATAAATATCAAATGCTTGTTGAAGGGATCATATAAAATAAAATGAATGAGCAAGCTGGTGAAAACTCAGCAGACGGGAAGATCATCTGGTGGAGGGAGGAGGCACTCAGAAGGCTTGCTACCATCTTTTACTATGAAAACCATTGCGAGACCCCATGTGGTATGCGCTTCAAGATGGCAATGCATGAACCAGACTCCTGGGTTGTCCGCCTTCAACCTGATCGCCGCCCATCCTCCGCTCGGAACTGCCACCGTGTTCCTCTCCGGCGGGTCGATAAGATTGTACTTTGCTGGGTCATGTTTGGCGTCGAAGTTTCCGAACCCACTCCCTACCACAAAGAAGTTGTGGCCATGAATGTGGATAGGGTGATTCTCTACATTGATAAAGGCCGTGTCTTGCAGCACTAATTCCAAACGAGCCCCATAAGGAACCACTAGAACCTTGGTGCCGAATTCTGTGTTCATGTTCTCGTTTAATGGATTCACGCCAGTGTAGTTAAAGTCAGTTGGTGGCTTCTCTGGGAAATCGGATGAGTAAACCCCAGAACTGAGTTTCCGGTAATAGGATTCCAGAATGGACATGGATGGATGAACGAAGGATTGGTTATTCATGGAAGCAGTGAATCTCTTGCCCAAGAATCCTTTGCAGGTTGTGTTCTTGGGGCAATCCTGAAGGTTCAGGCTTGTAGTGGTGATCACTCGCTTGTCCACTGCTTTAGGGACGTTACAAGGGTATTGGGCGGAGGCAAGGCTTCGAACCTTGTCGGAGAATTGGGTTGCGAAAGGGGTGTCTCTCATGGCGGGAAGGTTGTGCACAGATGAAATGTTGCAGGGTTTAATGGGTGGTGGCTTGGAGTTCATGGCCTTTCCTCCGTTGTACTGCAGGAAGCCGAGGGTGGTGGTTTCATCAAATGGAACCATGGCGGTCACATAAGGCCTTGCAGCCATTGGAAACCTTGTTGAGCTATCTGGGACCTGATCTGCACTGAGTAGAATATTGGTGGTTTGTCCAGGAGCCACCATGACTGCTGTGGTCTTGAATTGTTTGGTGTAAACAGCGTCGACCTCGACCACAGTTAATGTGTGGTTGGCTACAGAAAAGAAGAGTTCGCTGGTAAGGGCGGCATTGATGAGTCGAAGTAGGTAGGTCTTGCCAGGTTCTACTGTCTGTATAAATGTATCTGCATGCTTGTACTAGTTAGAAACTCAGAATCCCCTACAGATGTGTAATCAAATACTTAGTTATAACTAGCTATGCTGAATTAATTTACCTTTGCTAGAACAAGGATACAGAGGTCCAGGCAAACCATTGATGGTGTAAGCATCTGAAGAATTAGGGCCACTTCCATACATTATCATAGTAGATTCCATTGCTAAAAAGTCTGCATTCCACCATTCTCCTGTACAAACAACTCAAATGCAGCTTACATCAAACACATGTTCTAACATTATTTTTTTTTTTAAATAATGAGGATCATAGTATATATCCCATTAATAATTGCATTATGATGGGTAGATAATCTACTTGAGATTCATTTGCATGGATGGCTTCAAAACCAAAAATTTTCATTGACAGATTCTAATAAAGGTGGAGTAGCTCTAATAGGTGATAGAATAAGAGAAAGTAGACTAAGATGGTTTTGTAATGTACCACCACCTGTATATATGACAGAAGTGATATGCTGCAATTTAATTGAAGGGGCTAGAAGGGCTAGGGGAAGACCAAAAAAAGACAGAGATTGAAGCAAGGACTAAAATATTGATACTCACCGATACCCAACATAGATATGGATGTGTATCAATATAGCCAATACTCTTTTTTTTATTTTATAATAATGAGAGGGTCCCAAAACAGGTTTGAGACCCTTTAATGTTTTCAAAATATTTGTGTACCACTGTATCCAAGCATATCTGGATACATCAATACCGGTACGATACACATGATACAGGATGTTCGTATCAATACTTTAATCCTTAGATTGAAGTAGTAAGAAATGATTTAAGTGCTCATAATCTAACCATGGATACGAGTTTTTTTTTTTTTAAATTAACAATGGATATAGGCATATAGCACTAAACAGAATGGAATGATAAAACATGATTTACATAACCAACCCCATATATTTGTGACAAGGCTTAAATGATGATGTAGAGTCCAAGTGTTGAGCAAGGTCTCCTGGAACCAACCACCCCAACTTCAAACGGCTCTTGATGGCCCAGCCAGGCAGAAAACCAGTAGGTGGGTGGCCCAACCAGCCAAGATCGTGTATTAAATATGAAAATAAACAATGGGGTTGCCGACCTTTTGGCATCTCACAAAGTCCCAGTGACAACAGTCTTGTTGAGTCATGTATAGTTTTCTATTGAACATTTGAAGCATAATTTCTGGGATACTGACCAATGACCATGGCCAACTGATGGGTGTACCGATCATTACCTGTATATTTTATTTTTTTTCCTATCTTAATCATAATACAGTTGGTTGAGATCTACCTAACAGCTCTGCTTTTTTATCCACCCATAGTCCCGTAATAACCTACATCCAAGCATGCCCCCCAGCACAAAATAAATAAATAATTCAAAAAAAATAAGACAATAATTAGATAGTAAAGGTCACCAAACTCTCACCAAATATTATAGGGATCTCAGCTTCAATTGGTGGTGAGAAAGGATAGGGCATCCGAGGATAGATGATGAAAGCACCATAAAGGGATGCACGTTGCCATGAGAGATGGGCATGCCAGAAGAGGGTGCCCCTCTGCTCCACGACCTTGAACTTGTAGGTGTATGACTTGCCGCTTTGAATAGGGCATTGTGTTACATAGGCTGGACCATCAGCCCATCCTGTTCTTAGCTGCTTTACTCCATGCCTAGTTAATAAATAACAAATAAGCACACACACACACAGATGTAAGAATTGCAAATAAAGACAAAATTATCTCCATTCATTCATTAGTATTATTGTTATATGGAGTTTGGTCAACTAATTATTTAATAGATCAATTTACATTATCACTGGAACTCCTTGTAATGACAGTTGGGAATCTTCTTGAATCTTTCATATAGAATAAGAACCTTTCCCCTGTTTGTTTCCCTATGGACATAAATCCAATTAGGCAGCATCTGGGGACCATACCAACTACCGGGAAAAACTTAGGGGGTTGGAAATGTTCTTGGGCATGACACGTTACTATGGGTGTGGGTCAAAAGAGTAATTGTCCTGCAAAAAAGACAAACAGTGGACTGAATGGGTTGACGTGTCATTGCCAAGAACCTTCTCAAGGGCCAAGTGAATACTTTCCTTGGATTATTTACAGGTGATAAAAATTAAACCTAAATATTATCTAACATATATAGTTAATACTTAGCACGTTTATAGTTCATGCTATTAACTTGAATTTTAATCAGATCGGATGGGGTTAAATCCACATCGGATCCGATTACTAATAGGATGTAATCAAATGTCCCATCGGATATTAGACTTTCGGAATCCATTGACAGGCCTGCCACCCACGGTCTGATGTGGACAAACACATGGCTTCATGGGGCCAATTGGAGAGCTGTTCATCATTCAAAACTTAACAATTCCGCAGATTTAAGGGATTAAACATGGCTAAAAGGAGGGTGAATTCTCCTGTAAATTCAGGGAGGGATATTTTGGGTCCTGATCTTTCAGGCTAACAGTTCATATCTGCTACGAGCCCACCCATTTTGCGACATTGGATGACGCTGTTGTACTGGGGCAGATTTCAAAAGACGTCTATGAACCGGCCTAGATCTATTCATAAATTTCTGGGCTTAGAGCTTAGGGAAGATGAGCAGTTTTAAATTAAACTAAACGCATTAATAGTTAAATAGGTAGGGAATATGCTAAGTGTCTGATCACTTATGAGGTCATTCTGGGACCAGTTGATACAAATAATGAATGGCCTGCAACTTCCCATTGACCGGGCTGGGCCGCTGGAACATGCCTCCGCTCAGAAAATAGTATGAAATCTGTGTATTTGACATTTCTTTAGATTGCACTGGTTCTGAATATTTAATGGGTTCTTATTGAAATCTCTTCTTTCATGTCTTCAACCTCTAGCCATATTTCGATAAAAGAAAAATAAAAGCAGATCAATGATGGAGACAAATGGCCTTCCTATATTGCTGGCTTCCTATAACAAATCGACAATCCGGGGTGTTAAATTAATTGACTCAGATTCAAAGCTCAGATTCTATGGTGCAACCAATTATGAAACTATAACATGCTTGCCAACTCTACATAATACCTATTCTTTTATCAAACCAAAGGCCCACTTCATGGATGCAATCTGTCCATTTGATTCACCTTGACGTGGCTATAGTTTCAGAGAGTCATCTTGTTCAAAGAACAGAAAAAGAAGTTCAGAAGCGTCATCAATAAGATCAATCCCTTTCATTTGCATGGTCAAATTTGAAATTTCCCATTAAAGTAGTGGGATTGATTGTATGGTTATCGTCATCTGGTGATCATGGAAGTGCATGGATAACATTATCTATCCAATGGTTGCTTAGGAAACCCTCTTGGGAAAGAAATGACTTCAAGAAAAATGGAAATGAGATAATCTATAGGAGTTCAAGAAAGGAATTCATTTCCAATTTACATCAGCCTTCTGAAAATGAAATTATGGGTTCAGATGCCACAAAGAAACTGATTCCAAAGAATCCATTACACCATTTGTTTGAGAAGTGAATAGGTATATGTGCAAGTTTAGTGAATAATAGAAGCCTGTGTCAACTTATGAAAGTGTTTAGAAGTTCATGGCTACCCCTTCCTCACACATACAAATGGATGAAATGTACTGGACAACCAAAGGATAATTTGTTGCAGGGTTTCACATGCAAAATCATACTAGGTAGAACATTTGGAATCAACAATGAAATACAGGTCAATGCTAATAAGGATACAACCCTCAGATTCTAAATACTTGGAGAAGAATACTCACCAATGGATGGTAGTGTTAATGGGAATGCGGTTTGTAACCTTAATTTTGACATCGTCACCTTCATGAACAGCAATTGTTGGTCCTGGAAACTCCCCATTTACTGTGAGAAGAGGCTTTGTGTGGCACAGGCGGGTCACATTCTTCCACTCGATCTGAAAAACAAATTATCACAACTCTTTCCTTTTTGTTTGTTGGAGAGAGAGAGAGAGAGTTGCTTACATTAAAATGAAAATGTCTTGTGATTGATGACGAAGTAGAAGGGGAAGCTCCAGCAAGTAGCAGGGTTCCCATCCATACACAGAAAAGAGGGAGCATTAGCAAGCTATTATGCAGGTAGTAGCCCTCCATTACCTCTAAACTCAGAAAACCCTGTACTATCGGTTTAAGTTTATGCATTGAATTGCATACTTGAACCACAGTTACGTGTATATAAAGTGATTTGAACATTATTTTTAAATGGATTGGTAGGTCAGAAGAGACAATAAGCAGGTAAAATAAACTTTTTCTTTTTGCATTTATTTCATCTAAGCCTCTTAATTATTATTTAAAAATAAGTCCTTGATAAGAAGAGACAAGACCTACCTTTCACTCCATCCACTGCTCTCATATTTCTATCATATAACATTTTCATATTCAGAATCTTTTCAACCACTTCTGTCATTTACTAAATGGATTTTTCTTTTCTACAATCAAAATCAACCTTTCTGTTAGGTGTATTGGTGAAGTTACACAAGACAAAACATGGTCAGCTAAGCATCTACTCTTACAAATAATTAGTATCACCTCTCCTTTATCCTCTTTTTTGTTCCTCATTATTGATAAATAGTAAAAAATTTGTAGAGATACTCTGTGGACATAGGCTCAATATGCCGAACCATGTAAAATTTATGTGTTCTTTTGTTCTTGTTACCTTTGCTACTTTTGAGTTATAATGCCTTAATAACCAGAAATGTGGCTATGTGGGCTTTGATATACATGGGGACATTACAGGGAGTGGAGAAATCTATAATTCAATAAATGCTGTTGATCAGCTTGCCAATTCATTCACATAAAACAAACTTAGGTTAATACATGATTTCCTAATAGATGTTTGATTTTAACATTGACTCAAAGATATCAGATGTGGAAGCTTTTCCTCATTGATAATTTGGAGTTACAAAACTACTTTGACTATTCTATCAATTTTTGTATATAAAATACTTGTTAGCTTGACTTCTACTAGCAATTGAATAAGGCAGAGTAATTTAAATGGAAAATGGCTAGGTTGGATGGGAGACTTGGCCAAAAGTTTTAGTTTATGAGTCAATTAGCAATAATCTATCTGCCTGGATTGGATCAAATTCAGTATAAGTTGAAAATACCCAGTTGAACCTAACCAGACAGAGTTCTAAATGGGTTTAGGTTTAGCAAATTGTCAAACTTATTTTCTAGCAGTGGATCTTACGTAGGGCATGGTTACCAAATACCAAGTTCAGTTGTGAACCGACATGATGAATGAAATGAATGAACTGGTCCTTTTCTATTTCCACAATGGAAGTGAATAATTATAATTAGAATCAAATATCAGTTAATCAACCTTCTAATTGAACATAGTAACCACCAATGATGCAATCATCCTAAATTCTCCTTTTTTAACAAAGACAGAGATGGTATTTATCTCAACAAAGAACTGAACCTAAACTTGAAATTCTAGCAATAAGTTAATCAGAATCCATAATATAAAAAAGAAAACAAACAATAAAAAGCACTTGGGTATTAGTTGCCCTAGTTTAAACCTGCTGGCTTGCATGTGCAGAGTCTTCAGACACCATCCTAGTAAAACCTCTTGCCATTAATTCCTTGAGCCATCTGCACAAGCAATCCATTGATCCTCAATCTGTCAGAGACAATGAAAGGGGTGATAAGGTGCTTCCAAGAGAAGCTTGTCATAGGTGGCCTGGTCAAACAACACCATGTTGTTCACCTTCTCCTTCTGCTTCCCTTTCTCCACTTTTTCTTGTTCTGTTTACTGCCCCCAGGTTTGGTGGGCTTGGAAGATGGAAGAGGAGCTTTTTCTTCTTTGGCACCATGCGATTTGAAGAAATGAAGAGTTACAGAGGAGGAATGGGGGGGCTCTGCTAATGTAGAGATGCAGGTGCCTTGTCCTAAATTTTCCTTAAGGATCAGTTTGGAAGGAGTACAAATACAATATGTAGAGTGCAAATCTGTGTATTTTGTATTATTTTGTATGTATTTGCACTGTACATATTTGTATTTGTACTATTTCCAAACTGAGCCTAATAGATTTTACCTTGATAAATCCAACTTCAATTATAGTGGAACCTTGAAACTTGTTCTGTTTTATACGTATTTGCATCATACATATTCGTATTTGTACTCCTTCTAAACTGAGGAACCAAATAATAAATAGATTCCATTATCAGAATTTATGAAAGACAACCAAATTTAGTTCTGCCTATATTACACCAGAAATTCATGAGCAGTATAAGAGAACTACAGGAACTGAATAGACCATCAAAAAGTCAGTCCTCCAGCTGCTTAATGGATTTCACTAATTGTCATTCTGATAAGCGTAGATTGTAACTCTACTTCAAATCCATGAAGTATATGCCCTCAGTTATGATCCAATTCATTATTAAATAGAAACATTACCCAAATTCAAATCGATTCAGATATAGGCGTAGAGAACCAATGGGACTATCTTATCAAATTGTATCATGTCTAAAATATGGCTTTCTTCTTTACTAGTAAATAGTAATTGCATAATGCAGAGTAATTTAGGGGAAAAAGGGTATATATGGTATGAGCATGGGATCCAACAAATTTAGTTGACAGTCAGTTTAGGAGTGGCACTAGGTCTCAGATTGAATTAATTCAGTTTCAGTTGGAAAATGCTCAACGGCTCAACCTAACATGGCTAATGTTTTGTTTGGGTTTTGGATTGGAAACCCAGACCAGTAAAAGAAACAACAGAAGGTTGACCGGTAAGATCAAGATTTTCCATCCATGGGACTCCTTTTCTAGAAGTTGATTTTACATAGAACATGGCTAACAAGTTCAACACTGAGCTAACATAATAGATGAAATGGTTGACTCAGGCTTTTCTTTTTTATTTCCACAGAGGTGGAGAATTCTGAACAAATAAATCATTTAGCTACAATCTAAGGTGGTTGAGAGGAGTGTTCATCAAGTTTCTGCCTTGTAATTGAACCAACCAACCATCGATCAAACAATCATCAGAAATCCTCCTCAGTGGGCTAATAGATTTTACAGGGCAACTTACTGGAATTCCTTTCAGAACCAATTAACAGGAGTTTTATATACCCACATTTATGCAAGCCACCCATAATTTGAATTTTTACCTTAAAGGAATTATTTAAGTAGCACATGAGAATTACTGAAACTGAAAAGGCTACCAAAGACAAAAATTCAGACAATATAAAATCCTATTGTAAATAGATTCTACTAGTTGTTATTATGGCAAACTTAACTAATAATATCAAGTACAAAGCTTTCACCAATGATTTACTTTGTTGTGGTAGCAGGAAAGCATGATAAAATTCAAAGGAAGTTCCTCAAATTAGATTTTGGAAATTTCTCCTCGTCATCTGCAAACAAACCCCTCTCCAGGACCCAGTCTTCAATCATTGCCTGAGAACTCAACGACTGGTCAGCAGGGACCAGGTGCCCAGCCCCTGAAACAACAACTTGGCTCAAGCTCCCCCATTTCTGAACATACCCAGCAAGCTGCTCGTTGACTTTCCAGACCTTCCTTTCTGCCACTAGAAACCTCTCTAGACCCTCCCATTGCAATTTCTTTACCCACGCTTCCGTGGAAACTACTCCATCTCTCAAATCAAACTGCCCCTGATACAACAAAACCTTACTCTTCTTCACCAATTCCTCTACCATGAACTTGACACTCTTCATTACATCTTTGTGCAATGCATCCCCAACAACGTCGCTGCATTCTTCCCAAATTATGGATGTCTCCACGCCCAAAGCCTTCTTTACTTCTTCCTTCTGCAGAAAAACACTAATAACGTCGGTTTCATAAGGTCTCATCCTCCTCAAATCATACAGAGTAGCTAACCCTGTCACATTCTGCAGCCAACGCAAGACCCTGTTACGTGCGTTCGTAGCTTCAGTCCAGTTCCCCTCTTGGGTCAGTCTCACAGCTTCAGCTTGAAATTCCTCGAGCTGGGTTTTCTGATTTTCATTGATCAAGCCAGAGTAGTATGCGTTTATGGCGTGGGTGGCGACTTGAGTAACTGGATCAGTCAATCCATTCCCAATTGCGACACCCCTTAAACTCAACCGACGGGAAGGGGATAGAAGGGAGTTCTGTTGCAGGATGTAATACCCAATTGCCGGAACATACTTTCCAGCATAACTCTCGCCGGTGATATAAATTGGACGAGACTTGAACGACGGGTTTAAGGATATAAATGCATTGAGTGCAACAAATAGATGCTTGGCAACGGTATGCTGGTCCCTGGGAATCTCCCCAGGTGTAGAAGCAACACTAAACCCTGTTCCAATTGGGTTATCAAGGAAAAGTAGACCAAACCTACGATTCCAAGCACCGGTATTTGCCTTGAGAGTTGGGTTTTCCCCATCAGAAGACAAAAGCCAGGGACCGAGCTCAAAGAAGTTACCGATCATGGAGGAGCATCCGGGGCCGCCTTGGAGCCAGATGAGGAGAGGTGTTTGAGAAAGAGCTGAAATGGGACTTTGGGCCTCATAGAAGGCAAAGAAAATAGCGGAAGTAGAAGTCGAATTAACGGGGAGATAGCCAGTTTTAGTGGGCAAGGCCTCTTTAGGAAACGAAGGGGCTGCGTTGGCTGGTATATTGGACGGAAAGACGTAGAGAAAACAGAGTAAAAAGGAGCAGAGGAGCTTGACGATGGAGGTGTTTGACTCCATTGGTGTGCACAGTGAGTCTGCTACTGGTACTGGCCAAAGGCATCGAATAAGAACCGGATTTGATACTCGATGCACTCCGGATCCAGTGCGTTTGGACTGAAGAAATTTTTCCTTTGAGTCCACACATTTTGTGACACTTTCAAAGTTTTAAACATCCACACAACCCCGTACTAAATACGAGAAGTTAATCATATATATAGCGTCCACATAAATTGACTCTTATATATCAAACCCGTAAAATTATGCTGGTCATTAAATTCAGCTTGAAACGTTTATTACTTTAATTTAACTATTATTATTATTATTAATTTATTTTAATATTTAATTTAAATTTTTTGTTATTTAGTAATAATATTAATTAAATTTGTAATTATTTAAATATTTACTTAAAATATCTTTTTCCAACCGAATATAATTATTATATAATAGATTTGTTAATTCATATTTTCCATTTAAGAATAAACATTAATGATTTGGCTTAACAATTTTAATGACTATTAATAAATATTGATTTTTATTTAAGGTTTAATTACTGTATTTGGTAATTATTATGAGGCATGCTTTGAATAAACATTAATGATAGCCGATGATTGTTATTTCGTTTTTTATTATTTAGTTAAATAAGTACTTCATGATTGTTATTATTATTAATTATTTATATAAATAATTGATTGTTATTATTATTTACTTAATTCAGTAATTTTGAGTAAGTAATTATTTGATTTAATCTGAATTATTTCATTTTTTTCATTATTTATAATAGACATTTAGGGTAGGCTCTATTTAAGAGACTTACCATGTTTTATTTAGATAATAACCCCATACTAAGAGGCAACTACAATATCATTTAATTTGAAATTTACTATTTAACAATAAAAAATTAATGTCCTGTTGAGCAACCCACCCCCGAAAAAGTATCAATAACTTTGAAATCACTAATTTATTTATAAAATAGTAAACTTAGATGGATGTTTACAACAATATCACCAATACTGTTTAATATTTAGGGACATATGAATGGATAAAAAGCATTTATGATATACATTCAAAGAGCTACTAAGAAAAACAATCCATGCCAAACAACATTTGTAGATGCATCCATCCTCTAAAGTAAGAGATGAAAAATATATGACTACAATCAAATCATCATCATGTATGACTACAATCAATTGATAATATAATTAGAACTCCGAAGCCCATCCAATAGATGAAACATGAAAGAAAGGAGAATAATGAGACCATCCTAAGTATGGAAGTCACCTCCAATTTAGGTGGCAATGCTTCTTTTGGTTGATCATGGTTATGGATTTTAAGTCTAAGCCCCCCACAATGCACATAGACTGGCTAGAATTTATCTTTAGGAAAAGATAGGGAAACCAATACATAACCTAATGGTATGCTTGAATTATGGGAATTGGGAGATAGAAATAGAAAATGTAGGTTGAAATTATAATTTTGGGCATGTTGATGTGTCAAATTCAAGTCAATTAGAATACTCATAGATTTTTATTTCACTCATTTAGTGGTAAATTGAATATTTTTTATTCCATGTATTTATTGAGTAATATAGATTAATAATTATGAAATTAGTAATAATAATAAGTATATTATTATTACTATTATTTACTAATAATATATTCTTATTATGTGTGTATTGATTTTGAAATYAGTAATATTAAATTATTATTATTATTATTATTATTAYTATTATTATTATTATGAAGTAATTAATTTGTTATAATTACGATTTTTATTTAATTCCTGAAATAATAATTGCTTTTATAATTCTTTTAGTTTAACAATTG